TGCCAATTCAGCCTCCAAATTTCTCAAGGTATCTCCATCATAATATACTTGAGGTGCCCTACAGAATGGAATTAAATAGTAAAATGGACTTGTTAAATACTGCAGAACCCCAAATAATAATAAATGAAAATGTTGCTAGCTGTAAAACGAAAGTAATACAATAAGGGCAGAACTAAGTAAAATGTGGACGAGCTTGGGTGAACACTAACAATAAATCATCTAGTATAATGTCAAATATACAGATGTTGCCTAGTTGGTTCCAAAGAAGCATAAGCCCAAACCTTTGGATTATTTGAGTTCTACTTTCACTTATAGAACTAACCCCATAAGCAAAAGAGAGATATTCAGTCATTACAAATTGAGGGCAATATATTTCCAAGTTCCAACTCAACAGTTGCAAGCTGGCAAGTATAAAACTTCCCCAGTTCAATGTAAATAACCATCAATAAGGCTAGAAGCCTTTAAACATTCTATCAAAAAAGATAAAGGAAAAAACAAGAATGGTTCTGAAGTCATTTACCACTAGTATGTCATCCAACACAAATTATAAAACAAAACATAATCTAACACACTAGAGCTTTCATTATGAGCTTGTTATTAAAAGTTACTGATATCAGAATATCAAATCTAAATTGTGGAATTGCATACCAGTCAATACATTTCATATGCACAGGTATGGCTTTTGAAAGTGAAGTAACATCTCCCACCACCTCCCTTCCATTTGCATAGTGCAGCATTGGTCCAGTTCCCTGCAAGTATTAATCATTGTAAAATATGAAATGATTATATCAATAGAATAAACATGTCTAACTATTTTCAAATTTGTCCTTTAAAATAGTACAAAGCAGATAACTGACCTCTGTTATCTTAGATGTGTGGCAGAAAGCACAAACACTTCCTTTCGGGAGATGTTGATCTGAAACTGCTTTTGGCTGAGCAACCAAAGAAGATTCACTCAATTTACAAGCCAAAGTGCAGTCAGAGTTGGCAGTAGCATGACTTTGCAAGACTGTATCTGACAATTCATAGCTTAGTTTCTTTTGTCTCTTCACATCTCTTTCCTCAAACACATGCTCATGCTTAATTGCATGGTGCACTAGACCTTCGGCCACATGTGAGCTATCTTCTACGGACCTCTTTGCAATATGGCTTTTTATATCCTGAAAACAAACAAATATACTCAAAAAAAAACTTCTTTTTTATCATAGAAACAGTACACATCCATCTTGATAGTCTGTCACCATGATATCATAGATAACTAGCTACTCTACTTCCCTGGACTTATTCAAGCATAAATATTGCTATATAGCTGGAGAAACTGTTTATATGTTTAGGCACTTTAATTGGATGGATGTACGCCTTTTCTACTGGAAACTATTTCTAACATAAGGCTAACCCCTGGCAAGTAATGGGCTACCCCAAGAATCGTAAATAATTTAGTTAGCACTTAGCAGGCATTCAATGTTCCATTTGCAAAGAATGAAACCCAATCAAAAGGTGAAGACTCAACTCTAATAATACTATACTTTTTGAGAATATAATGCCATACTATAACAACAACTTATGAAACTTACATTATTTCTTACTCTCAGTTCACTAGTCTCTTTAACAATATCTTTGTTAATATCGGATGAATGAGAGCTGCCTGGCGATTGTTGTTGCACTTGATTCAAATCTATTTCCTCTGCATCATTCCTTTCATTTTTTAAGTCTGCCTTTCTGTCAGAAGAAGGCAAGAGACTCAAATTATTCACACCATTCCAAGGAATTCCATGTCCATTCCGCCTAATAATTTCCATGTTTGGACCATTGCTGCTTACTATGGCTTTGACGGCTTGCTCATTTCTTGATTTGTCATCAGCATTAACAGAAATGGGAGACTGCTCTAACATTGTTCCGGCATCTGGTACATTAAACCAATTTGTGTGTGAGTAGTACTGTACTTTACTAGCAATAAGAAAATAACAGAAAATTGATATATGGGTTAAGATATATTTACCAGGAGACTGGAATTGAAAGACTTTAGCATTGAAAGTAGCATCTAAGCTTCTAAATATGGCTATCATACTCTCCATATGAGGCACTGCCCTCATTTCTGCACCATTCCAATAAAGGCAAAAACATCAGTTATTTCCTTCACAAAAATTACAACACGTTATAAACAGAAATGATCTTATCCTTTCATATTGTAAAATCGTGATTCATTCAACAACTATTGCACCTCAGTCACAAATAAGCAAGATAGGTGATATGAATACTCACTTTTTCCATTAAGCTCAACTCATATATGTACACACAAGCTCACACACGCTGAACTGTATGAATAACCTCATCTAAAGCTTAAGGAACTAAAACAGAAAACCATTTATATATTTATTTTTGGACTGCTACCATTTAAGCAGGAACATTTGAGGGAATGAATGTTCTTTCTAATGTGTATCTCCCTACAAACAAATTAGTTTTGCAGCCCATTTCAGAATTTGTTTATTAAACAATGTAATAAAACCATTTAATAGTACCTTGATTAACATATTGATGTTTGCATACAGGGCATTCACATTGAACTTGGGTAG